ATGATGAATTTAATCTTATCATTCCAGTTTCACTTACCATAGCAAATTATTAATCACCTTAGAGGGGGTTTTTGGCTCCAAAAAACAAAGTCACAATGAATATATGCCCAGTCATATTTATTAAAACAGACTGTGATTGCCATAACTGAAGTGGAAACTGGATGTGGAATGTATTTTTTAATTTTTGAATAGAATACCTTCATTTTTTTATTATATTCATCATCTACTGCATATGTGGTAAATATTAGTGACTTTTGGTGGATCAATGAAAACAGTCAACTCATTGAGCTGATTTTCAGTTCAACACTGACAAAAATTTAACCCAGCACCCAAATTGAGGATTGTGCAAGGTTTCATGAAAGTTTTTCACATTATCCCCAATGCGTTTTGCACAGAAAGATGTTGAAGTAAAATGGAACCATTGCTTTTCTGTTTTAATTTGTGATATAGGTGGACTCATGACCACTGCATAAATTCTACCTGAAGGTCCTTGATTCAAGTTTTTCTTGGTAGAACAACTGTTGGCTATATTCACGGAAAAAGAAATTCACTTTTATGGAATCAATATCAAAAATATAAATTGCTTGGCTCAAATCAGGGATAAATTTCTTGAACAGATTTTCTGGCTACATCAGAATATCATTAGGCAAAATAGTCAAGTTTTCCTTGGGTTTCTTTCAAAACTCATATTTTCAAACAGAGTCTAAAATTAGGAACATCAAAGGGGGCTGTTAATTCTCATGAAAACTGCAGAGAACACATCAAAGATATTCTTTTTTAAATTGAACTTGAAAATAAATAAGTTATAGCTACACATATATTCTGTACAAGCTAGAGAAGCGCTACGCCTCAGGTATTCCCGCCAGGATTTCATCAGAAAAACAGCTTACAATTAATAGCAATGAGTAATTCGTCATAGCGGGACTTTCCTTGCACCTGGGAAAAGGGGTGGAAATTTGTGAAGGGATTTTAGCAGCACCCCCCTTCGTTACGGTACCTCTGGCGCGTGCGAGGCATCAAATACCGTACCTGCCCTTCCAGCATCCACGCGGACTCATTGTGCCTCTGATCTATATGTACTGTACTGGGAATTGATCTGCATCTGACCTCCTTCCACATCCGCCAATGTCGTCATCATCATCAACTCCTTTTCATCTTATTTCGTGCTTCTTTTCCCATTCCGTCGGAAACGATTCCCGCGGGCTTGATTTGAAGACTTGGTTGCTTCTCTGCGCGCGTCCGCCGATTCCGACCAAGACTACAAGCGACATCTAAACGCTGCGGAAAGGTAAAACTCATCCAGCACAGGAAGCGCATGAACAGATGTCAGTGCAACGCCATGTGCTTCTAGGAATAATCTGTCCATAACCTCGTTTTCAGTTGATAATGAGGGGTTATTGAGGAAGTAGATCCGCTTCTTTTGAAGAACTTACCCTGCATCTTCAAAAATATCAACTCCACTTCTGTTCAGCATCATGTGATAAATTATAAGCATATATGCATCAGTCACTGAACACATTAGGTCACATGCAATATAGCCTTTTTCATCACAATAAATAAATGGATAATTAATTTTCTTTAGCAGCTACAGCACATAATCAGTAGCTTATCAATGAAACTGCAAGCAATTTTTTTTTACATAGTTCCACCTTGAACCAAACATCCCTATGCAGTATTTTCTGAACTCCTGCTACTTGAGTTTACCATGATACAGTATTCTTCAACTTGCAACAATTTCCTCAATGACAGCTGATGCCATGGATTATGAACTGATACTTTGGATAGAGACCAGAAGTATAATAGAAAGTTATGTTACAAATGTTAGAAAAAATAAGGACATTGAATCAGTTTTCAAGAGCATGGTGTATTTTAAATCAGAAGACATGGATAATGCCAGAAAACAATATGACAGTGAATATTTTAAACTCCACATAGCATATATTTTACTGTATCTCATATTTTGGGTAGTCCTTCAAGGACATCCACATGCTTTTTGGGTAGTTGGGCAACACTCATCAGGGGTGGTGCCACAATTGCTGCTTGAAGTGGATTCAGTATTGTCATCATCACCATCACTGCCACCTTCATCATCATCATCATCATTGGCATCACCTCCCATATCCAGGCCAATGTTCCAAGATGCCCCAGCAGTGAAGGGCATATTACCTTGTATAGAATCCTCACCATCAGAGACAGTAATTTCTGATCCACCCATCAGAGACATTAGGCCAGCTGTTCAGAAAGAAGAACAAGNGCGGTCAGTGGGAGGACTGTCCTCCTGTCCGTCTCTCTCTCTCTCCCTCTCTTCAAGTACCGGTATGCCATTTCCCCCTCTCTACCTCCAACCCAAACTGGGTGTCATTCAAGTGAGCGATACACAACTGAGCGTTTGTGCGAATTCAACGCGGAACAATTTGTAAAGCTTCTTTTTGATTTCGGGATTTTTTAATAATTAAATGCATAATCTTTCAATGGAAAAATAATGAAAAGGAAGTTTACATGTCAATTCATCAGGAATCTTCATTCAACCTGATCAAATTAGTCAAGCATTTTATATGTATGCATGGCTTAAGCCAAGATTGGGATGGCTTTTGAAGTGGCATGGGTTTCAAGATATATAGTATTAGAGTCATTGAAAAAGTTGCAACTTTTGGAATCACAGCTGGATAATACCAGAGCCTTCTAATGATGAATTTAATCTTATCATTCCAGTTTCACTTACCATAGTATGGTATTGCAAATTATTAATCACCTTAGAGGGGTTTTTGGCTCCCAAAAACAAAGGGTTCACAATGAATATATGCCCAGTCATATTTATTAAAATAGACTGTGATTGCCATAACTGAAGTGGAAACTGGATGTGAAATTTATTTTTTAATTTTTGAATAGAATACCTTCATTTTATAATTATATTCATCATATACTGCATATGTGGTAAATATTAGTGACTTTTGGTGGATCAATGAAAACAGTCAACTCATTGAGCTGATTTTCAGTTCAACACTGACAAAAATTTGACCCAGCACCCAAATTGAGGATTGTGCAGGGTTTCATGAAAGTTTTTCACATTATCCCCAATGCGTTTTGCACAGAAAGATGTTGAAGTAAAATGGAACCATTGCTTCTCTGTTTTAATTTGTGATATAGGTGGACTCATGACCACTGCATAAATTCTACCTGAAGGTCCTTGATTCAAGTTTTTCTTGGTAGAACAACTGTTGGCTATATTCACGGAAAAAGAAATTCACTTTTTTTATGGAATCAATATCAAAAATATAAATTGCTTGGCTCAAATCAGGGATAAATTTCTTGAACAGATTTTCTGGCTACATCAGAATATCATTAGGCAAAATAGTCAAGTTTTCCTTGGGTTTCTTTCAGAACTGATATTTTCAAACAGAGTCTAAAATTAGGAACATCAAAGGGGGTTGTTAATTCTCATGAAAACTGCAGAGAACACATCAAAGATATTCTTTTTTAAATGGAACTTGAAAATAAATAAGTTATAGCTACACATGTATTCTGTACAAGCTAGAGAAGCGCTACGCCTCAGGTATTCCCGCCAGGATTTCATCAGAAAAACAGCTTACAATTAATAGCAATGAGTAATTCGTCATAGCGGGACTTTCCTTGCACCTGCGAAAAGGGGTGGAAATTTGTGAAGGGATTTTAGCAGCACCCCCCTTCGTTACGGTACCTCTGGCGCGTGCGAGGCATCTTTATGGCATGGACGGGAAGGTCGTAGGTGCGCCTGAGTAACACGGAGACTAGATATACATGACATGACCCTTAACTAGACGTAGACTGGAGGAAGGTGTAGGCGGTTACAGCAGTAGTAGTAGTTGACCTTTTCATCTTATTTCTTGCTTCTTTTCCCATTCCGTCGGAAACGATTCCCGCGGGCTTGATTTGAAGACTTGGTTGCTTCTCTGCGCGCGTCCGCCGATTCCGACCAAGACTACAAGCGACATCTAAACGCTGCGGAAAGGTAAAACTCATCCAGCTACAGGAAGCGCATGAACAGATGTCAGTGCAACGCCATGTGCTTCTAGGAATAATCTGTCCATAACCTCGTTTTCAGTTGATAATGAGGGGTTATTGAGGAAGTAGATCCGCTTCTTTTGAAGAACTTACCCTGCATCTTCAAAAATATCAACTCCACTTCTGTTCAGCATCATGTGATAAATTATAAGCATATATGGTAGTCAGTGACTTGTGTAATCCAGTGTACGTTATATCGGAAAAAGTAGTGTTATTTATTTACCTATTAATTAAAAGAAATCGTCGATGTCGTGTATTAGTCATCGAATAGTTACTTTGACGTTCGTCTTTTTTTTTACATAGTTCCACCTTGAACCAAACATCCCTATGCAGTATTTTCTGAACTCCTACTACTTGAGTTTACCATGATACAGTATTCTTCAACTTCCAACAATTTCCTCAATGACAGCTGATGCCATGGCTTATGAACTGATACTTTGGATAGAGACCAGAAGTATAATAGAAAGTTATGTTACAAATGTTAGAAAAAATAAGGACATTGAATCAGTTTTCAAGAGCATGGTGTATTTTAAATCAGAAGACTTGGATAATGCCAGAAAACAATATGACAGTGAATATTTTAAACTCCACATAGCATATATTTTACTGTGTCTCATATTTTGGGTAGTCCTTCAAGGACATCCACATGCTTTTTGGGTAGTTGGGCAACACTCATCAGGGGTGGTGCCACAATTGCTGCTTGAAGTGGATTCATTATTGTCATCATCACCATCACTGCCACCTTCATCTTCATCATCATCATTGGCATCACCTCCCATATCCAGGCCAATGTTCCAAGATGCCCCAGCAGTGAAGGGCATATTACCTTGTATAGAATCCTCACCATCAGAGACAGTAATTTCTGATCCACCCATCAGAGACATTAGGCCAGCTGTTCAGAAAGAAGAACAAGAAAAAGAATTGCAGTATACTTATAAAATCACAGTAAGAAGATAAGGTTATTGTTTACCCATCAAGCTGGACATGCCATCCATCCCACCAGTACTACCTCCTGTCTGCTGTCCATTGAATTCCCCAGCTACTTGACAACCTGGGTTCCCATCTGCACATATGACCCAATTCTTCAGTCCAGTCACAAGCCCTGGTTTTGCCATCCTGAGGAACTTCTTGGGAAGGTTGTCAAAGAAAATGGTGCTGCCACTCAATTCTTTGCCAGTGAAACCCAGTCTTTTGTCCTCTGTTGCCTTCTTTTTTATCTCTTCCATGTCAAACTTGCCACCATCTTGGGTCACTGCAACTGCTACAAACCTTGAACCCTGGGTGATGTCCTATTCAGCAGCAGGAATGAACCAATGCAGTGCATTACTTCTTGCAATTTTTTTAAACATTAAAATGGTGTGCTTCACATTGCTGCTTTGATGATAATTATCCAGATTAAATAGTTATGACAAACAAGTCATCCATCATGCATGCTTCTGATGAGCAAATTTTTGTTGTTCTGTGAGAACATTGGATTTGATGGTTACATATAATTTGTGTAAAAAGTCTCTGCATGAGTTATGTAATGTAATACAGTAAAGTACTATACTCAGATTCACACCAACTGACCCACATGATACTTTTGTCTGAAAACCCTGCTTTTTTCAATCAATAACAAAGGCCTTTCAAACTTCAATATTAAGACAAATGGAATGTACAAACAGATTGAAATCATCAACTTATTTTAGAATGTGGAAAGCAACATCAGTTACAATACTTCCAGTGTCATGAATATAGTTTAGACAAATATCTTTGTATGCTGAAAAGTTACTCACAGCTGGAAGCTGATCTGTAGAAAAGTCCCATGAATAAACAGTGTTGGACTGGTCAGTCACATCACCTTCCTTCTGAAGGTTCACCAAGAGCCAGTTGCAGTAAATGGATGAACCCTTATGGTCCAAGTTGAACACTGCCAGAATGGTGGTCTCTGGACCAATGGTCTTCACTTTGGGAGCATTTTTCATCACTGAGGCAAAGTGTTCTGAGCCCATGTCAATGTTGCCTGAACCCAAGTCCACATTCAATCCCACAAGTGTGTCACCCACTGTGAAGTCCAATGGACTGAGGAGATCTTTTGCCTTTGACATGTCTTCAGGGGAGAGTGGGCTTGCATCATTGGGGCCCTGCACTGGTCCTTCACCAGATTGTTTAGTAGTAGTGACTCCAACAACCTCTGGGTATCCAGTGGTGCCTCTTGGGAATCTACAGAGGCATCTAGAGGATCCCTGAAATGTCATACCTTGTCCATTTCTGTGTGGCTTATTTTCATGCATGTCTTCTTCATCCAGTTCATTATTGTTAGGATCCTTCTCTTCATCAGATTTAAGATCCTCCAGTATCATAGACTTGGAGTATGTGATACATGGCTTTGTTCTTAAGTGTGTCTCTGTGGGTGATTTTAGTGATGATTTTGAGGCATTATAGTAGCTGGAAGTATTTAAATAACAAAACAGTTGCTAGGCACTTATTCAACCTAACTCTTTTAAACTTCTTTAGGAAATTTTTTCATCTTTGTGCAGCTAATAAGTTATTGCCTGAAATATGGGAGGTCAGTAATAAGAATGTTAGTTTACTTACTATGAAACACATGGCTTTCACACAGTCCACTGATGAATATCAATAATAGGAAAATCTTCATCATGGCCCAACATTTGTCAAAGATTGACAATGTGAGTCATCCAGTGTCAGGCATTTGAATATTTCTGAATCAAAGATATTTGATAGAGCAGGAGAAAAGAAAACTTGACTTCAATATCCTGTAGTTTTGATGAAATATCCTCATTCATTATTCTAGTCTTATATATAGGGTGGCCCAGGATATTTTTGACAGACAAGAAGGAGAACAAGAACAAGAAGAAGAAGAAGAAGAACAAGAACTTTTCATATTCACCATTCATATGAACAGTTAAAAACTTTGCTTACTTATTCAAACACAGACAATTGCCACCCTACCTGAAGAAAATTGTCTATTCAAGAATAAGAACCCCCAAGAAATTGGGGAGATGTTAAGCTTTATTCTTGAAAAGTTTAATGTTTCCACCATTTTGCGAAGAGATAAAACAGCAAATCTCATGATGAATGCATGTGCTGCTTATACCTGAAAGGATATTCTCTGTAGCACATTTATTTCAGCAGTTCACAAATTGGCAACTATTTAAACTTCAAGCATGCAAGTAGGCATAAATTATATTTTGTTCAAAAAAACTTGATAAACATACACACAAAAGCCACTTAGATCCTCTGACTCCTCTGACATGCAAATATTGAGCATATGTATTTGGTAAGTTACTGGGTTGGCTCACATGAGATGAGATGAGATAAAAATATTGCCAGGACCTGTTCCAACATTGTTGAATATTAGGAAATATCCTGTGGAAAATTTCCATATATGTAGGAAATCAATAATTGAGTCATTTCCTGGGGAAAAAGAAAATTCATTTCCTAAAAATCTTGTTCCAAATGTATTTTAACTTTTCAAGATCAGGCAGTTCACTGTGGTGGCTTTCAGAGGGTAAGTCAACACTCTTCAGCAACCTGCACACCAGTTCAGCAATGGTCTCATTGTCACTCCAGTCACAGCAGGTGCTGCTGGACACAGCAGATGTCACAGAACCCTGCCTGTCAAGACCCCTGGAAATGGTGGACCTAAACCTTGCCACCTCCCTGGTGTCAGCAGCAGAGAATGTCACAGAGCCCCTGGTGGTTGTGGTGGTGGTCAATGTGTCAACACTGGCCACACCCAGAGACTCAGTCATCTCAGAGCCAGCCTCAAAAAAGTCATCATCATCCCTGGTCTCAAAGATGCTGTGCACAGTGTCAGGCTGCTGCTGCTGCTGCTGTGATGGGATGTGCAGGTGACACTGCTTGGCCCAGGCTGTGGCTATGGTTGAGGCCCAAGCACCCACTGCACCTGCCAAACTGGCAGCCATTCTGGATGCCTCAGGCTCAGGCTTCCTTCCCCTCCTGGCTTTCACTTCCAGCACCTCAGCCTGGTCATCAATGGTGAACTGCACATTCTCCATCTGGGATGGCAGCTGTATCACTTCTTGCTGCAACAATTGTTAGATGTCAACCCCCTCAAACAAAATCACTTTACCATCAATGGGAGGATGCTGTGCAAGTCTCATGCCTTGTAAGACAGGGTGTCTGTTGAGGAGAAGCTGCCCAGGCTGCACATGGTGCCTTGGGACACAGCTGGGACTACAGGGATGGTGTCCAGGGAGAAAGTTGAGACCAGATGGTCTCCTCCTCCCATCACCTGAGGTGACCTTGACTTGATGAAGTTTTCCAGGTATATTCTGTATTCCCTGACCTACAATACCAAACATGGACATACAGTGGACTTTTGGTTAATGAACCAATTAGTCAACTAACTTTTGGTCTCCAGGAAAAAATCCCTTGGTTAACTAACTAACTTGTTTCTAGGGAAAATTCAAAATTTGATTTTGAGGCTGAAATTTATGTTACAAAACTAAGTGCAAATAATTCATTTATGTTATACAGTACATTGATATAAAAATTTTTCCCTCCTTGAACTTCAATGTGTGTATACACCTGACAAGTATCATCTGGTGTGTGTTTCCAGGATGTGAAGCTTTTTTCTTAGCTGTGCTTTCATCAGTTTTGGCACTGAAAACTTTCTGGGCATATAAAATATTCAGCAGCAACTCATTCTGATTATACAGTAGTTGATGGCCTTGAATTTTCATATTCAATGTTCAATTGTCTTCTGGGTTCACATAACAGATAAAATTCCTCCCCATTGAAGTTTATGGGAAAATCAATTTTGGTTAATGAAGTTTTTTGTTGACAAACTTTTGCCTGGAACCAACTAAGTATGTTACCTGAGAGTCCTTTGTAATATGTACAATGAAAAAAGCAGTTACAATCATATCTTGTAAAACACAATAATTCAGAATGAACAAGTCTTGGCAGTAATTGAATAAAAATTATTTTTTTTCAAATGTGCCTTCAAAATATTTTAAAACCAATATTGAAATGAAAATTCATGTATAGGTTTGTGTTGAGACTGGATCAATATTTAATGCATGTTATCCTGAAAAAAAACAAATATTTCTCCAGGAAAATTCAGCATATACAGGGAAAGGAATGACTTATATGCACCTCTTGACAAATTAGCCTAATGTCCTGGTCACTCCTAGTGGCCAGTATTTGGTCCAAGTTGGCAACCAGTTCTTCAACACCTCCAGTAAGCACTGGGGTGAATTTGCCTCCATTGGAAGCCAGGTACACCAAGGTGTCCTTGGAGGGAGAATTGCAAGGTTTAGTCTTCATCAAGGACATGGACAGGGCTGTGTTCTCAACAAGACACTCCAACTCTGCAACTGCATCTGTGACTAATTTGGTTTCCTGAAGCAATTCCCTTTTGGCTGGGGAGTGCTGGACCAATTTAGCCATCTTGAGAGATGAGGAATTGGGTGAAGAAAAAAAAAGAGGGGAAAAAGGACAAAGCTGGTTAGGGGATTAATGAAGAAAAGGTTGTGAAGGGGCTGGAAAGGAGAGAAATGAGTCAGCTAATCAGCACTGCCTTGTATTTTGATTTTTAGCATCCCATGACTGGGATTTGGAGGAATGAGGGATGGTGTGTGCAAAAGTGCTATCAGTACTCCAATACAAAGTTATCTATTCCCCCAAATTACCATTCCTTCAAACCACCATCACATAAAAAATTCTTTGTTCAGTTGTTGAGGATTTCATTCTATAACAAAATTAACATCATCACCTTCTTTCTCATCAATTGACAATAAAAGAAAAATCATCAGACAAAAACTGCCATGAAAATGCATAGAAACACAAGCATCAGATCTTTCAAATTAAGAAAGATATTTTCTGAATTTTCAAAAACATCTCAGAAGTGCAAATAGGTTGAAAATTTGAACTTTATCTCTATATTGTGATAAGTGCACTTTCAACACTTAGCCTCCTCTTCATTTCAACCTGGGTGTGGAACATAACAAAAAGAAGTCAGGAAATTTTGAAATATGTGTGCATTGAAATCAACTTCACCCTCACATCCTTCCAACAAATTATCTGCTCAACTGAGAAAAGTTCAAGAGTAAACCTTTCCTTACTGTAGAAGCAATGTATTAAGTTTATTGTTCTTTAGTGTGCAATCAAATAAATCTTAATGAACTGAACACAAATTAGAAACAAATCTTTTTATTTCAACCATATGTACAACATGATAAAGCCCAAACAAAATACAGCATTTTTCAAACATGGGAAACAAATGTACATAAACATGGTGTTAGTCAAGACAGGGAATGATAAGCCACCAATGAAAAAATAAACTAATGAATGAATGCATGCATGCAGGAATGGATGGATGAACTCACAGACACTCCTTTTGTTAGTGAACTGATGAAAATATGATGATACATAGGCCAATAATCCAACTCACCCAGCCCATGGAGGATTAAATCAAGTGAGTATACAGAAGCAAAAGGGAATTTCAGTAGGGAACAGTGTAAAATTACTTCCCATCAGTGATTTATTAATCTCAAATTAATTTTTCAAACCAATTCAAAAAATTCATCAAAGGAGGATGCAGTTTTTTTTTTTAAATGCAAACTTTGAACCAGTGGGCATCAACAGGTGGAAGGGGTTACTGAAAGAATTTCTATTCTTCATTGAAGCTACTCATTTCCAACAGAATATGCATCACATACTTGATATCATGTCCATCTATCTTCATCTGTATTGTAAACACTGTTTGAGTGATGCCCAGCACAAACTGATTTCAAAGGGTCAATTATTTGGTGGTTGGGAGATAACATGCTTCCCTTCAGAGCTGAACACCACATGCAGGTTTATATTCTGTACCCTTTGAAGTCATTGTGCCATCTTTTCATATATTGGGACCATAATGTATATCTTCAGAATACATACAGGGAGGAAAGGACTGAAAATTCTTGCCACAAATACAAAAGAATTCTTCATCGTCATCTTTGCAGCATAGCATCAAGTTTTTTGTTTTTTTGAGGGGTTAAAAGGATAAGAAATAATATGCTCTACTGTACATATCATCATCAGGACGGTAAAACACGCATCAATCAATCATACTCACTATGCGCAGAAAGAGAGAGAGAGAGAGACACCTACATCAGACAAACAGACTCAAGCAGCGCGCGCGCGGTCACAAGCATATACAGAGGTCGCTCCCTACCTCCCCTTCCCACTTCCTCCTACATCCCTCGTTTTATTCGCATTTCTTTAAATTTTTTTTTTTTTAGAGTGCGGCCCATACGCCTACCAGGGCCAAAGCAGCGGCCACGGCCACTGTGGGACGCACGTCAGTTGCTGTGCCATTAGCTGGTCTGGGAACCGTGGTCGCGTTAGAGTTGCCAGCAGGTCCCGGGTCTGATGACTTGTTATTATTGGCGCCGGTGGCGGAGTCGGAGCCAGTGGCTGTGCCGGGTTTCATGCCTGCCGGTGGCTGAGGCATGGGTGGTCCGTGGGGGCTGGAGCCGGACCCGGATTGGGGCTGGTTCCCGCCAGTGGCGCCACCTGTTGCTGAGGGGTGGTGCTGGCCGCCAGCTACGGAGTTGCTGGCACTGGACTGCCATGCTCCTGTCATGGGGGATGGACTGGATTCAGACACAATGTAGAAACAGGGAGGGAGGGAGGGAGGGAGGGAGGGTGGATACAAGAGGGACAGACAGACAGACAGACACACACAGAGAGAGAAGGAAAATGGAGTCTTATCAAAAGCCATGTGAACTTCAATAGAGAGGAGGCGACTTTTTCTCCATAGAGAGTGGCCCAAAAAAAAAAAAAAAGTCAGAAAAACACACCATTGGAAAGTATTCTGGAAATACTGTTCTTGCTCTCAATGTCTAGCTTTTTGATACAGTATTTTTTTTTTTAGACAGGAGGACACAAAGTCAAATTCAGAGCATGCAAAGACCACATTTACACAGGTTGGCCAATTTTTAAAACAGGGGGGGGGGGGGGCTGGATATCAAACAATACTACTGCAGTCAGATGCACAGTATTTCAAGTTCAGTCTCTTTGACCTCAAATTAATTCTTCTGTGATTTTTTATATATTTCATAACATTGAGAAGAGCTGGGCATTTAATTCAGGCCAGGCAAGAAAGGTCACATTGGTAAAGGGTGGCCAAAAAAATTGTGGACCAATTAAAAAGGAATTTTTTAAAGATATGTTGAACCAGAAAAAAATATCTGTGGAATGCTGACACAGTGTGTCCCAGCATTAAGATTAGAAAACAATTCTCAAACAGGATATTCAAATTGTAAAAAATTTAAAAACCATAAAGCCACATTGTTTGTTTGTTTGAATTTTTAAAATGTTTGACCCTAAGTTCAACTTTTCAAATTTCACTTAAAAAAAAACAAGAGAAAAGTGTTCTTGCTGTACAGCACTTATGGAAGCCACATTTATACAGGGTGGCCCAGAAAATTGTACACATCACCAAAGTTTAGAAATTTAAGAATCTACCATATACATATTTTTAAACCATGCTGGTTAAAATTAAAAAATATGAACTCACTGTACATGTACATGTATTTGAACTCTTGAAATCCAGATTGCTTATATTGTATTCATGAAGGGGAGGGGGAAGAAAATGATTCACTACAGGTCTTAGAGAAACTTATTTTCACTTGCTGAAAAAAAAAACTTTCTGGCCAACTTCCAAAGAGCAATGTTTAATAAATTGAAACCAAAATATTGAAAAGTGATGCCTAAACTTTTTATCAAGCCAGAATGGTCGAAGAACCGTAAGTAAATAAACTAAATCTATAGGACTTCAAATGTCTTTTAAAATTTAAAAAAGGTTTCCGTACAAAAGTACAACTGAACATCGTTCGTGTCCTGTTCTAAAACTTTAGATGTTAACTGCTAACCATTTTTAAACATTTAAACTTCATTCCCATTTGAACCTACATTTAGCTTTTTAGTTGGAGGAGATTTTCCAAAATTAAAGTGCTTAGCAAGCACAGGACAAGATTTTGAAATCTACAAAACTGCTAACCATTTTTAAACATTTAAACTTCATTCCCATTTGAACCTACATTTAGCTTTTTAGTTGGAGGAGATTTTCCAAAATTAAAGTGCTGATGAGTATTGCAAAAAAAAGGAGGTGCCAGCAATTATATACTGTACCAATATTATGAATTGCATTGTTTTGATTGACGAATAATGAATATGAGAAATTATTTGGTTTGGCAAAATGCACTCTTCAATTTAAAGTTTGCTTGTTGGTTGGATTTTCAAGGTGAGACTGATTCATTATTTCATCGGTATATTCTTTTATACATTTCCTCTTCCAGTTTCCCACTGTTTGTGGATCAACTTTTCACCTAAAAACATAGAAAAGAAAAATTGTCTAGACTTCCTCACAATCTTGAATTCATCTGAGAGTGTATGAGGAACAATTATAATTCATGTACTGTACTGTATTTCAAAAGTATTCCTTGTGGAAGCACATTTTTCAAGTTATGAAAAGTATTTGATCTCTCAGCAAATTACTTAATTTTAGTGGCACTTCAAATATGCAGATAGATTTTCAAAACTATTTTGCAGGTTCATAATTGTCTGCATAAGAAAGATTCTGAGTGTATAACTTCTGTGGTGTTGGCATTATTAATCCTTAGTCCAAAAATGGAATGAGTCAAACAAAAAAGTGAGACATCATGGTACTGTATACGTTACTATTAGTGATAAAAAAAACTAGGCAAACATTTCAAAAACTCTTCTCATGAGAAAGCATTTTTGACCTGAGTATACCTACACGAGATAGAACACAAAAGCTTAAAATTGATCAGAAAATACCCATATACAGCAATAAACTTTAAACTTTGGCAGAGAACTCAATTTCTTTGCAAAACAGACCAAATCATGAACTTACAAATTGAGCCCTGAAAAAACATAGACATTTAAAATAAAGTTGGATGTCCCTTGCTTTTTGAACAGAAGTCTTTACCAAGTGAATTTCAAATTGAAGCCCCTTATGGTTATCAACATTAAGCAATTTCATATCAACTTATTACAGCATTTAAATCATTGCATGTACCTGAGCAACAACCAATGACATCTGCCACCAATAATCCTAAACTAAGATTGTTTTTAACATCAGCACTCCGCCAGATGTCACTTCATACAAATATTGCTTTAAGATAGTGGATGTCCGCTTTTGAGTTGCACCCAACTCAACAATGTCAATGCCATTTCACACAAAATGCCAAAAAGAGCAACCTTTTCATGACTCATACTGTTGTACAACAGTTTCCAAGCATTCAAGAATTTCTCACACAGTAGGTACAGTATTTAAAATGAAGTTTTAATCAAATAAAAAATAGCAGATGCTTGATTGCTGCAAATAAAAAAAAAATGCCAAATTTTCAACAACATGGAGTTTTTCCAGAAATAACTTGTCTGTTGACTCATTACATGCTGAACTGAACATCAGTTTCCTATTAGATTGACTAATCTCCATTTTACAGAAGGCAGATTTTTTTTTTCTCAGGAACTAGTGGCAGTCAATTCACATTCAACTACAGAGATAAGGACTGTCCACTTCAAATACAGCAGAAAATATCTAGACTTTCAAAGCTGACAGGCAGAGGGAGCCATGAGTCACCATGATCCAGTTTTCCCAAGCCAGTATTTTTTTTTCTAAATCAGGATTTAATCCAGGAACCCTGCCAGGGCAAAAAGCAAATCAAAGCTCAGCTCCACTGGGAAAAGGGAAATGGGCAAACACCCAGTCACACTTTATGCATAGAGCAAAAAAATAAAATAGAGAGAAAAGTGAAAGCTGGTAAACAAACACCAGCCCAGAGGGGGAAAAAAATCACAATAGGAAGAGAGGAAAACTTATCACTGTTTTCTCACCATCCACTGAAACAAATGCCCAGGTAAATGTCACCAGGGCAACAATAATGGAAATCAGGATTTGGGACTTGAAGTTAACCATCCTTTTCAAGTGTGATGTGGGGTTTCCTCTCAAAGAAGAATATTCAACTATCTTCTTTAGTAACAGAAGTATAAAGACACTTTTTTGGCAGTATCCTGAAAAAACATATCAATTCAATCTTCAATTTCAATTCAGATTCACAGAATTGATTCTTGCACATCACAAATGCAGTACAGCATAACATCTTGTTGCACACAGCCATTTTTGGGTCCATGAAACAAGGTTTCTTTTATCAAAAAAGTTCTTTATTAGCAAATTTTTTTAGTTCCCTTTTTAATATGTTTTTGATTTCTTCATGAACTAAAAAAAAGGGGGTAAAAGCACCCATTTTTTTTTATAAAACATTCTATAGTATAATAAAAACCACTTCCACTAAATATGCACTCAAACAATAAAAGAATTGACAAAAAATCCTCATCACAACAAAGCAATTGAACAATAAAACATCATTGTGAAGGTTAAAAAAAACTTTGCTCTTATACAGAATTATTGACAGTGGAAACAATTTAAGAATGTACAGTATTTATGATACTGCTGTAATTGAAAACAAAAATTGAACTGTAGCAGAATCCAAAATGACTAGATTTAATAAATATTTTTAAAGGAGTATTGCTTAAGACAAATTTGTTTTCAGGTCCCTGTCCAACAGCCAAAAACTGTATTAAAACTTGTCAACAACAAATATTTCTTCATGGTCTGGATAATATGTCTTTGTTGTAAAAGGTCTTGCACAAGCCACAAACTCTGCATAACAGATGAGGCCTCAATAAGTGTTCCAAAAAGTCCAAAAATGGGGTTTAGAGACTTGAATCTTATAAATTTGGAGGAATTGAAGATATGAGTCAAGAAATCTCCTGATAGAACATTTAAGAAATTAAATGCGCACCAAGGGAAATGGGAACAGGGACTGCTCAGCCTGCTGCAGGAAATGCACAAGGGAAGCCCAGTCAACCAAGCCACCCTCCCTGTGCCAACACTGTGTCAGAGGAGGGAGAAAATCCAGAGAGGGACATGTTTTTCCAGACAGGTTGGGGAAAAAAGCACTTGAGGAAGATTGACCAGCCATTTTCCCATGGGGGGGGGGGGGGGGGGGGGGGGGCTGGATATCAAACAATACTACTGCAGTCAGATGCACAGTATTTCAAGTTCAGTCTCTTTGATCTCAAATTAATTGTTTTGTGATTTTTATATTTCATTACATTGAGAAGAGCTGGGCATTTAATTCAGGCCAGGCAAGAAAGGTCACATTGGTAAAGGGTGGCCAAAAAAATTGTGGACCAATTTATAAATGAATTTTTTCAAGATATGTTGAACCAGAAAAAAATCTGTGGAAATGCCGACACAGTGTGACCCAGCATTAAGATTAGAAAAGAATTCTCAAGCAAGATATTCAAATTGTAAAAATTTTTAAAAACCATTAAGTCACATCGTTTGTTTGTTTGAATTAAAAAAATTTTTGACCCTAAGTTCAACTTTTTAACTTTCATTAAAAAAGAACAAGAGAAAAGTTTTCTTACTGTACAGCACTTTTGGAAGCCACATTTATACAGGGTGGCCCAGAAAATTGTACACATCACCAAAGTTTAGAAAGTTAAGAATCTACCATATACATATTTCTAAATCATGCTGGTTAAAAGTAAAAAATATGAAATCACTGTACATGTACATGTATTAGAACTCTTGAAATCCAGATTGCTTATATTGTATTTATGAAGGGGAGGGGAAAGAAAATGATTCACTACATGTCTTGGAGAAACTTATTTTCACTTGCTGGAAGAAAAAAAACTTTCTGGCCAACTTCCAAAGAGCAATGTTTAATAAATTGAAACCAAAATATTGAAAAGTGATGCCTAAACTTTTTATCAAGCCAGAATTCAGCTTCTTGGCATTCATTTATTTGATTTAGATATCCTGAAGTTTACAGAAAATTTTAAATTTTTTCCAAAGGCATGTTTTCATGTTGACTTGTAGCAAGCACAGGACAAGATTTTGAAATCTACAAAACTGCTAACCATTTTTAAACATTTAAACTTCATTCCCATTTGAACCTACATTTAGCTTTTTAGTTGGAGGAGATTTTCCAAAATTAAAGTGCTAATGAGTATTGCTAAAAAAAAGTATGTGCCAGCAATTATATTTTGTGCTAATATTATGAATTTGTATTGTTTTGATTGACGAATAATGGCTAAGACCAAATTATTTGGTTTGGCAAAATTCATTCTTCAAGTTAAAGTTTGCTTGTTGGTTGGATTTTCAAGGTGAGACTGATAGATTCATTATTTCATCTGTATTATTTTATACATTTCCTCTTCCAGTTTCACACTGTTTGTGGGTCAACTCTTCACCTAAAAACATGAGAAGAAAATTTTTCTAGACTTCCTCACAATCTTGAATTCATCTGAGGGTGTATGAAAAACAGTTAAAAGTATTCCTTGTGGAAGCACATTTTTCAAGTTATGAGAAGTATTTGATCTCTCAGCAAATTACTTAATTTTAGTGGCACTTCAAATATTCAGATAGATTTTCAAAACTATTCTGCAGGTTCATAATTGTCTGCATAAGAAAGATTCTAAATGCATGACTTCTGTGGTGATGGCATTATTATTCCTTAGTTCAAAAATGGAATGAGTCAAACAAAAAAGTGAGACATCATAGTACTGTACACTTTACTAGTAGTGGTAAAAAAAAACTACACAAAAGCTTAAAATTGATCAGAAAATACCCACATAATAAACTTTAAACTTTGGCACAGAACTCAATTTCTTTGCAAAACAGACCAACAACAAAAAAAACAGACCAAATTATGAACTTAAAAATTGAGCCCTGAAAAAACATGGACATTTAAAATAAAGTTGGATGTCCCTTGCTTTTTGAATAGAAGTCTTTACCAAGTGAATTTCAAATTGAAGCCCCTTATGCTTATCAACATTAAGCAATTTCATATATTGAATAATGTCGTAAATTTAGTAACGTACATGGACTCGTTGTTGGTTACTGTAGACGGTGGTTATTAGGATTTGATTCTAACAAAAATTGTAGTCGTGAGGCGGTCTACAGTGAAGTATGTTTATAAGCTTTAAGATAGTGGATGTCCGCTTTTGAGTTGCACCCAACTCAACAATGTCAATGCCATTTCACACAAAATGCCAAAAAGAGCAACCTTTTCATGACTCATACTGTTGTACAACAGTTTCCAAGCATTCAAGAATTTCTCACACAGTAGGTACAGTATTTAAAATGAAGTTTTAATCAAATAAAAAAATAGCAGATGCTTGATTGCTGCAAATAAAAAAAAAATGCCAAATTTTCAACAACATGGAGTTTTTCCAGAAATAACTTGAGTCTGTTGACTCATTACATGCTGAACTGAACATCAGTTTCCTATTAGATTGACTAATCTCCATTTTACAGAAGGCAGATTTTTTTTTTCTCAGGAACTAGTGGCAGTCAATTCACATTCAACTACAGAGATAAGGACTGTCCACTTCAAATACAGCAGAAAATATCTAGACTTTCAAAGCTGACAGGCAGAGGGAGCCATGAGTCACCATGATCCAGTTTTCCCAAGCCAGTATTTTTTTTTCTAAATCAGGATTTAATCCAGGAACCCTGCCAGGGCAAAAAGCAAATCAAAGCTCAGCTCCACTGGGAAAAGGGAAATGGGCAAACACCCAGTCACACTTTATGCATAGAGCAAAAAAATAAAATAGAGAGAAAAGTGAAAGCTGGTAAACAAACACCAGCCCAGAGGGGGAAAAAAATCACAATAGGAAGAGAGGAAAACTTATCACTGTTTTCAGTGGTAGGTGACTTTGTTTACGGGTCCATTTACAGTGGTCCCGTTGTTATTACCTTTAGTCCTAAACCCTGAACTTCAATTGGTAGGAAAAGTTCACACTACACCCCAAAGGAGAGTTTCTTCTTACTTCAACTATCTTCTTTAGTAACAGAAGTATAAAGACACTTTTTTGGCAGTATCCTGAAAAAACATATTTCAATTCAGATTCACAGAATTGATTCTTGCACATCACAAATGCAGTACAGCATAAAATCTTGTTGCACAAAGCCATTTTTGGGTCCATGAAACAAGATTTATTTTATCAAAAAAGTTCTTCATGAAGAAATCAAAAACATATTAAAAAGGGACCTAAAAAAATTTGCATTAAAAGCACCCATTTTTTTCTAAAACATTCTATTGTATAATAAAAACCACTTCCACTAAATGTGCACTCAAAAAATGAAAGAATTGACACAAAATCCTCACCACAACAAAGCAATTGGACAATACAACATCATTGTGAAGGTTAAAACAAACTTTGCTCTTATAAATAATTATTGACAGTGGAAACAATTCAAGAATGTATTTATGATACTGCTGTAATTGCAAAAAAAATTGAACTGCAGCAGAATCCAAAATGACTAAATTTTACAAAAATTTTTAAAACAGTATTGCCTTAAGAAAAATTTGTTTTTAGGTCCCTGTCCAACAGCCAAAAACTGTATTAAAACTTGTCAACAATAAATATTTCTTCATGGTCTGGATAATGCCTTTGTTGTAAAAGGTCTTGAACAAGTCACAAACTCTGCATAACAGATGAGGCCTCAATAAGTGTTCCAAAAAGTCCAAAAATGGGGTTTAGAGACTTGAATCTTATAAATTTGGAGGAATTGAAGATATGAGTCAAGAAATCTCCTGATAGAGTATTTAAGAAATTAAATGCGCACCAAGGGAAATGGGAACAGGGCCTGCTCAGCCTGCTGCAGGAAATGCACAAGGGAAGCCCTGTCAACCAAGCCACCCTCCCTGTGCCAACACTGTGTCAGAGGAGGGAGAAAATCCAGAGAGGGACATGTTTTTCCAGACAGGTTGGGGAAAAAAGCACTTGAGGAAGATTGACCAGCCATTTTCCCACCAAATGGAAACAGGATGTCTGAGCTTTTGCTGAAGAGAGTGGATCTGATGAGGGAGGGTAAAAAAGAAAGAGAGACCAGGGCTGCCAGAGAAGTGTGACAGCAAAGAATGGATTCAATCAAGTAGAGGAAATTGATCATCAATCACTCCATTGACACAGAGGCGCCTTCATGTGCTTGCCTGCCTGTGTGTGAGTCACAACACTCTTTCTGCCAAATATTGGCACACATGGCTCCAGTTATCAGCAGCAGCAGGGCTTGTCAAATGGGTGTGGTCAATAAACTTCCCAACAACTCAGATGCACACCACATCCTGCAATCACTCATCTACCTCAACAAATGCAAAAAAATTCCCCCAAAATTGATTTTGAAAAATTTCCCTTTTTCCACCTCCAAGCACAAAAAAGGACCAAATATTTCAGGAACTTGAGATTATCATTTCCTGAATTCAATTCATTCGAACATAGAGAACTGTAAATCTTTTCATACAGAAATATAATACATTCCAAAAATCCCCTAACCTGTCTCATGTTCACCAGCACTGAGTCCTCAAAAGGTTCAGGCTAAAAATTGAAGACACTTTCAAATTCAGCTTTTTTGCATCCTTGCACTCATCATGCAACACACCATTTCCACTTGTGAACCACAAAAAATGTCAGCAATAAAATTTGACAAGAAGAAAATTTCCATCACAAATTATGGCTGAACAAATAATGGAAGACAATGAAATTCCTCAAATTGCTTCAACAAAATCAGAATTAAGTATTTCACAGGTACTCAATATTTCATGGGGGTAAATAAATGGCACACACAAGTGAATGTAGTCCAAAAACACCACTTGTCCTCCATAACAGCATTTCTGACTGCTCCAGACCTGCAAGAACTGAGTGAAAGTCCAGAATGAAATAATCTCACTTTTGGAATAATTCAAATGAAAATAAAGGAAGATTGTAGAAAAAAACACCGGCCAGTGTATTTCATGTTCATCAAGCCACCTAACATTTCCAAGCTGGCTGGCTCACCCAACCTCCACAGGATCAACATCCTAAGCCACTTACTCATTTCATAATCTTTCTTACATTCCAAAATAAATCTCTAAAAATTCCAAGCCTAAGCAGGAAAAAAAAAGGGAATGGAAAAAACATGAACCCTCATCACATCATCATGACAAGAACCAACATATACAACATGGCGGGCAAGATACATTTTACTCCTTTGTTCCATCATGCTTGTCTAAAAACTGACCTGAGATGCCAAAAAAACAGAATTATAATTTTTCCAATAAATAAATAAAATAAACATAATCGTGATTTTTTCCAGTAAATAAAACAGGCCCGGAAAAAAAGCCGCCGCAAGCGCCCTCTACGCACAATCGTCGTCCCAGCAACAGGGATTGTTTCTTCCTCCTTTTTCTGTCTTTGTCTGCTCACGCAAACACCCCGAACTTTCTCAAAGTTTGCAATTTAAAAATTTGACAAAAAAAGGAAAAACAAATTCTCTTTGGTACTCCACTAAAATAATTAAAAATCCCTTACACATTCCCCCAGTGAAGAACTTCCCTATTTTCTTGCAGGAATCCGAAAAAATGATTCCCTCGATGGGAGAAACTAGGTTCTCCCATCTGGAGCATGTTTGGTAAAAAGCGAAACATTCATCCTCATTGCACGAGAAAAAAAACAGAATAACAACCAGAGGCACAAAGCGGATGAAGCCATTTCAGATTTTTAAATTCTTCAGCGGAAATCCGGAAGATTCAGATTAAAAAACTTGCGAAACTCGAACTATTCCTATTTCATTGAAAAGTGGAAATTCAACATTTTCTGCGGAATTTTAAATGGGAAAGTTATCAATCCATAGGATGAATTAGCAACAGCAAGACCACCTTCCAAAGAATTCGACAAACTTCCGGCTCCTCTTAATTTTTTTTTAGCATTATCAAATCCAGGAATCATTGCAGAAAAAGAAAAAACCCTGAGAATTCTCAATTCCACAAAGCCTCATGTCTGATCCTTAATGAATGGGGTCTGAGGAACCTCCAGCAAACGAAATGAAACCTAAGAATTCCAGAATTCAGACTATTAAAAAAAAGGTTTATTTTTTCAGTTGAAACAATCTCATGATCACCTAATGAAATCTGAAAAAAGCCTTGAGCTGTTCTTTTTTCGGCCTTTAAAATTTAGAAATAAGATTCAGAATCTCAAGGTTTTTCCGAACTCTCAGTCTTGCAAACCTCACAGCTTGAAAAGACTGATGTTGCTGACATTTCTTTTTTCGTCAAATTTTCTTTCAAAAACGCGAGGCTTCATCCGCATCGTTTCCAGCTTCTACTTCGAAAGCTCAAAGATTAAAAAAGAATTACATGCCTAGGACTCGATCGTTTCAAGCTTGATTCCAGCGCTCATTTCTCCATTTCAAATTCCTTTCCTCCTTCTCCATCATTATTCTTCCGTCTGTCTTTCTTCGCTTCTTTTTTGGTTCAACTTCAATCCCCTCCATGGAGTCCCGGCGCCACTTCAATCTTGTCCGGGTCCTCGGGATTCAACGCACCGATGCTGTCGCCGCAGGAGATGCTGCTGCCGCTGGCCGCCGTCGGGGTCTTGAGCAGGTAGCCCGAGTCGGCGCCGGCGCCACCGCTGCCGCCAGCAGCGTGAAGAGCGTCCAACACGCGCCGCTTCCCGTCGCTCCGCTTGGCGCCTAAAAAGGACAACGCGACCGGAAGGAACACGAGCCCGTGCAACGCACCCACCATCACGATCCCCAGGTACATCCGGAAGTAGAAGACCCGGAAAATTTGCGAGTGCGCAAACCCGAGTGCGATGATGCCGCCCAGCTTCGTCAGCGTGATGCCAGATAGAACCTGTCATGAAAAATAATTAATACAGTACAGTAATTATAATTTTTGAAAATTGTACTACTGTACTTCACTTTACTGTACTCAAGTACCACGCGCCCTCGATGACACACGCACTCCAATTTTTTTTTAGAAATTCGCCCAAAAACGTCGAAGACTCGCAAAACCGGTTATTTTTTTAAATAATTGTGAAATCTATTTTGTTGTGTGGATTCAATTCTTCCCATTAAGCTTCTGTAATTCCTGTTTATTAATGTCAGCCTTCTCGAATAGACTCTTCTGAGGCTCTTTTTTTTTTTTTTTTTTTCGGGATAACTATTTCAGTTATTTTATACTGTACTGTACTTCTGAAATATTGAAGCTCAATTGGACGCATGCAAAACAAAATTGAGAGAGCCCCAGAAGAGTCTATTCAAGAAGACAGACATTAATAAACAGTAATTATCTGAAATGTTGAAAAGTTTTGAAATATATTTCAACTCTTGTCTATTGAATCTGATCAGATAATTGAGAGAGCCTCTTCTGAGGCTCTTTCAATTTTTTTTTTTTGCGTGATAAAAATGTTACTGTACTGTACTTGTGAAATGTTGAAGTTCCATTGGACGCGTGCAAAAAAAATTGAGAGAGCCTCAGAAGAGGCTCTCTTAATTATCTGATCAGATTCAATAGACAAAAGCGTTGGAATATATTTCAAAACTTTTTTGGCGGGATACAAATTTTACTGTACTTCTGAAATGCTAAAGAACTCGATTGGACGCGCGCAACAAAAAAAATTGAAAAGTTTTGAAAAATATTCAAACGCTTTTGTCAATTAAATATGATCAGAGAATAACACACAAGATTAAGGACTCACAGAGCTGCCCATGTCGACAAGTGCGTGTCTGGCTCGCTCCAGCCTGCTCTCAAACGGACTCACTGCATACGCACGTACAATGTGGTTGCAGAACTCCACCGCAATCCCGACAGCCTAAAAAAAAAATATATATATATATATTTGCAATTTTTCCTCTTGGATAAGATGCCGGTAATTTATTTATTACGGGGGTTTTCTCTGTTATACAACAAATTTTCGTTGGCCCAAAAGGGGTTCTCTCTTGGAGGCAAGGGTACCGTACATTTGCCCACATTACAGGATAGGGGTTATGAGTGACGATGAAGATGATGAACGACCAACGCGGGACGTACCATGACCAAGTTGACCAAGGAGACGGCATTCAACTGGATGTCCCAGGCCCACATGAACCCGAGCATGTCCACCATGATCATGACAATGGTGACCAGCACCACCAGGGCAGAGTGCAGGTCGAAGCCGAGGAACACAAACGTTGCTGCAAACACGGCTGTCACGGAGATCACCAGCGACGACGTCACGTCTTCCCACATGGTCAAGTATTGTTCGTAGAACAAGTAGAAAATGCTGCAGGAAGAAAATGAAATTAAAATGAGTTTTCATCGGTGTCGACAGAAAATTTTCCAACTGCAACAGAGTCGATCGAAAATAAAACACAGAAAATTTCAAAGGTGGCGTTAGAAAATAAAATGGAATACAGTAGTTTTCAAACGTGTCGATAAAAAATATAATGGATTAATTTTCAAAGGTGTCGACAGGGAATAAAATAAAATAAGCTTTCAAATGCGTCGAAATCATCAAAAAAAAAAAAAAATTTGAGATTTCAAAGGCGGGGATAGAAGAATAAATTCAATAAGTTTTCTAAGATATCGATAGAAAATAGAATGGATTAATTCTCAAAGGTGTCAACAGGGAATAAAATAAGTTTTCAAACATGTCGATCGAAAATAAAACAATTGAGATTTCAAAGGCGGGGATGGATAAATAAATTCACCAAGTTTTCAAAGGTGTCCAAAAATAAAATGGACAGAGTTTTTTGAGGCGTCAAAATAATATTTTTTTCAGGTGTTGATAGAAAATAATGAGATATTCGCAGTAGAGTCGGAGAAAATGTTTCTTCAACTTTGAAAACTGTTCCCGAAGGCTTTTTAATGATACAAAACAATCATGAAGCAGATGAAAGATTGTATGGAACAATATTCAAAAGCAATTATATTCAATTTATCAGTTTCTCAAAAATTCCGATTTTCGGCATTTACGCATTTTAAAAATTAATCCAACGTGTGCAATGTATAGAAAAAATTATTTGTGTAATATTTTCGCGTTAATCATCCCGAACATCTTTTCTCTAATTAAATTGTCCACAGGCCAATTTCCATAATACGGTATAAAAGAGCATCTTAAGATTACCCAAAGGAAAAAAAAAATCTCGTTTTGATTTGAAGTTCTTTGAACTTCATTTTCTATTCCATCCTAGCAGCTAACCCAGAGAGGAAATTGAAAACACGTTTCATTCCTGTTTTCTCACAGAATTAACGTCTCGGTGGAATCATTTTAATCCCATCTCTGGAATTTAGTCGAAGGATATTCTTCCATTTTATTTCTAGACACAAGGAAAACTTGGGTCTAGCTATTTTATTTCATCACAAATTAATTTTTTGAAATACATTACATGATTCATATCTTACTTCCATTCCAGTTTTTACCTCTTTTTTTGCATTCATGCGAATTTGGAGCAGTCCATAAAAAAAAGAAGACTTCAAAATATTGACTCATCTCGGATGAATTTCCAATGCGAACGTCTATTTTCCAGCGTGTTTATCACGAAACTCAGTTTTCATTTTCGAGTTCGTTTCTCTCGGTCTCTCAACCACGACCAAAAAAAAACAGAAGTACACACAACACGTCCCTTGCTTTTCACCATTTCTCTTACCTGTAAGGAAACACCTCGTATTTGACACTGCCAGTGTTGCCCTCGTTCAGCATGTTGGTGACATTGTCAGCAATGAATCTGGCCATTCGCAAAGCTTCATAGTAGTCTTCCGAGGATCGCATCATGGCGTGGTAAGTCATGAAGTAGTTGGCTCCCACGCTTATCTCTCCGGACCGATTCAACAACTAAATGTACAAAAATAGATGGGGGTTGGAGAGAGAGGAAAATGAGATGAACGCATTCCCGATCAAGAAAACGGCTTTTTTTTCTGCTTCTATTCCTGTCTTTCTTTTTTTTGTAACCTCATTCAGTGGAGTCTCGTTATAATAAATTGTCATTCTCAACACACTTTTTTTCAAGATGCAGGTGCCATAACTCTCATTTTAAATACAGCACATTACAGTAATTAACAAAGAAGCATTTTTGGTACTTTCCTGTTATCTCTGTACCTCATTCCTAGACCACACTACCATCCAGAAAAATATTGAGGACGAGTTTATAATCACAACAACCTACCAGAAACTGTGAATTTTATTTTCTGCATTCTGCTGAAACTGATTTTGGGAGGCGGTTAGCTGAAGTTAGGTTAGGTCAGGTTACATCAGTTAAAAGATATTTGTAACTAACATAACCTAACCTAACTTTACCTAACCGCCTCCCAAAACCATGAAAGTAGGTACTGAGATAACAGGAAAGTACCGCATTGGTATCCTTGTCCCAATGGCTTCGTTTGAACGAGATTTTACTGTACAGTACCTCGCTTCATTTCTTTCAAAAGACAAAGAAGGATAGTTATCAAAGCCAATAGTGCTTCTTCATTGATAGCGAAAAATTATTCGGAATTCTTTCCAGTACTGGACAATGATTCCTCGCATAAAAATCAACTAAAAATTCGCATGACAAAAATTTTACAGGAGAAAAAAGTAGATATTTAGAAGAAAAAAATGTGGAGAAAAGAATTTAACATTTTTCTGTAAAAAGCGGTCATACGTACATCCAACCAACAAAACTTTTGACAAGAGAACCTCAAGAATGACACGAAGTTATGAATTAACCCTCGTGTTTACAGAGCAAAACAAAAACAAAAAACGAAGTACTGCACACATTGTTTTTGTTTTTTTTTTCCTAAAAAAAGTTAGGAGAGTTGGGTTTTAATTTCGAAGGTACCTTGACGGCTTGACCATAAGCAGCGTGTCCAGCTTTCGGACAATTTTCTCCAGGATTCGACATCAAGAACTTGCCAACGAATTTCTGGAAAGTCGCCTTGTCAGGCCGGTATCCAGACATACACGGATGGACGCAGTCCGAACGCATAAATCGATCTGCCGAAAGAAGAAGAAAGGACTCGGGTCTCATTTTCAATCCACAATTCATACACACACAAATTGTATCTTTCGCTCAAAAAATAAACTGGAATTTATTTACTGAACTAGAAAAGCGATAAAATTCCTCCTTTTTCAAATTTATTCACAGGCGTCGCATTCTTCAACGGTTACTTCATCCCAGTTCTTCAAATTTAGGACAGGTTCTCATTACATTTTAATGCCCCTGAATTTTAAAAAAGTGAAGAAAATACAATGGGAAGTCCATTAACCGAGGCTCTTGAGTACTGTATTTGATTTTATGGGATGTTTTTCATCTTTGCTATTTTCGCCTGCGTTCTTTTTCTCATGCTTCATCAAAATCATATCAGAAAAACAAATGCCACAGGATGAAAGTCCATCAACCGAAACTAATCTTTATCTAATGATACTTTATTCTGGCCCCTTTTAAACTGATTGTGTTGCTCTCAGACAATTTTTCCCTGCCATAAGGGCAATTCAGGTGAAAAATGAAGAGGACACTCCATTAATCGAGACATTACATTAAATATTTTTAATTTGATTACCGTATTCAATTATTGTTTCTCAAGCTGGCCTTTTATTCTGTAGGGTAAATTTTCCTGCCACTAAGGGAAAATTTGGGAAACAAAAAGACTAGTGAAATCCATAAACTGAGGCATTACTATGAGTAATTGGTTCTTTCTGGAGTCCATTTAAATACACGCTTTTCGTCTCTTGGGTGAATTTTTTTCCTGGCACCCACGGACAATTTCAGAACAAAAAATATTGGAAGTCCGTTAACCGAAGCATCATTGCAGCTATTTGTTTTTTTTCTTTTCACGTGGTTTTTATTCCTGGCTTTCTAACCCATTTCTTTTTTTTTTCTCCCGTGACCAACAGAACAAATTTTAAAAACTACACAGGAAGAAGTCCATTAGCCGAGGCATCAATGCACATACTTGATTTTTTTTTTCAATCATAATGAATGTTCCGTTCTTTTTTCCGGTTTTTTAGTTTGCCTCCAACGGAACAATTGATAAAAATAGCAAAATGTTCGTTAACCAAGGCATAACTCCACATGTTTTTTTTACTCGATTCTGTTCAGATGCTTTTTTTGAATGCAGGTATTCGTCCGTGATTATTTTCATACTGGTTGTTTCCCGCGATATATTTTCTTTTCCTCTTTCCTGCCAACACTACCGGAAAAAACGAAAAAAAAATAAATAATCAGAACACGAATAATATCCACCTTTTGGGGAGCAAAAAGTGCCGTTGTTGTCGGTGGAGCAGCAGCTGACAGATCCCAGCCAGTCAATGTAATCGTCTATCCAGGACATGGCCGTCGACACGATTCTGGATCGATTGGAAACTCGTTGTGCAGCGTAAATTTGCTCAGTCAGAGAGTCGATGTTGCAGCCGACGGTGGAGCAGATCCGGTCCTGGGCCTTTTCGTCCAACAAAGGATAACCTTCCTTCACCACGAAGTAAGTCGGTGGGCCCATGTAAAAGTTTTCATACATCGACTGCAAATATAAAAAAAAACACACACACATTTTTATTAGACATATTCATTTTTTTTAATTTCAGATCTGTTGACTCGAGATCTGAATTTCGATGGGTCAGCATTGATCACATAATTCAATCAACGTGACTGATGGATTTTTGAGTCACCTTGAGACCTGACAAGAAAATTTTGAAATTAAGAATCATAAAATCCGAAGTCACTCATGGGTGATGCAGAGGTCCGTCTTTTTTTCGATAAAATACCCTTAAATTTACCCTTTCATTTTAGATCCTTCAATTTGACTTGTTCCAATTTCAGATCTGTATTTGTTAGTTCAATCAGCGTTGACTCTTCGATACACTTTTCGAGATATTCCCATACAGAACACATTGACAAATAACGCGGCCTACATTTCAGTTATTTCAAATCGAGACAATTTTTGCAGGTCGTGAGAGGTCATATTCCAAATTTGATTCCGATCTTCATCAACGCATACGAAGTATTTTTCCTTTTTCAAGACTTCATCCTCGTATTCCCTCGAAAATTCTTTCGATGAGTTCAAATTTACTGCCAAAATAACCGGTCGAGGTCCAGCATCGCATAATACGTCACACGAATTTCGATCAATCCGACGCGAATGAACAATCAAAAACATATTTTTCCCCGCGTCCGCATTCTATTTTTAATCCGTTTTTCGCCACTCGAAAAACTCCGCGTTATCGCAAACATGGAATGTTTTGTCAGAGGCCCAATGAAATGACGGATGAATTTCCCGGAAATGGGACGAAAAACACGTTTGAACTAGTGAAAGAGTGAGTGTGACAATCGACTCACTTCACCGTGGTGGAGCAACAAAAAATAAATAAAAAAAACGGAAGAAAAGAGAGACTGCACAAAACTCTGTTTGCAGATCATGAAAGACGCCTCCGTCCCAAAGAAAAACATTCCCATTCGGCGATCTTTTTATTCTTCGTGAAAAATCAAACATTCAATTCTGTGATCGTTCATTTTGCCTTTTAAAGAACTTAATTTCTGGGAATAATACAGCAGATGGATTTCTTTCCGATGTTTCCCTACAATTCGGATTAAAAAATAAAAAAAGTTTTTCAGAAGAAGAACTAACTTCGAGAGAAGAACTAAGGTTTCTGAGCGCGGGGATATGTATTTCTTCTTCTCAAGATTATTCGAATGATTCAAAATCGTACTCAAATAAACGGAGGAGAGGAAATACGACAAACGCTCTCGGTAAGATAACCGTTTCTTCCCATCGATTCTCTCTCAAAATGACAAACCAGAATCCAGATGCATCAGCGTTACAAAAACAAAAATCATCTTCTCAACAGATTCATCTTTTCCAAAAAGTTTATTGAATCAAAGTGCATGTGCAGCCAAACCTCAATAAGTTCACTGCATTTATTCACGAGGTTTGCGGTGGTTTTACAAGGTCGAGGGTTTTATGAAGGACCGAAGAGCCAAAATAATGTTTAAAAAGTATAACATGAAATAAATTCTTTGTTCTAGAAAACCGTCGAAATCTTCCCAATTAAATTATCTCATCTTCATGTGCGTGTGTGCGTAATTGTTCAATTGAAGAACTTGAACAGAAATTAGGATCATGTTGGCGGGGTAACGGATTTGATTGGCAGAAGAAATCTTTCAGTTGCAAATAATTTTTGGCGGATGATATCATCATGGGGTATTCGAATCTTATTATCATCAGGAAAGATTTATTTTTCAAAATAAATCGGCGGCTGTCCCAAGAGTGGCGGCTTTTCGTGAGACGTCTTCACGGGGGTTTGAAAACTAAACTAGTCATCTGCAGTATAAAAAATAAAAATAAATTGTCAACTTGTCTCAGCCCAAACGCAGAAATTGTCGTCGCGCCAATTAAAAAAAAAAAAAAAGTGAGCCTAAAATTCGAGCACATTCCCTAGAATATCAGATGGATTTCTTTTTTCGTTTTTTTTTTTTTTTTTCAAAGATTAAATTCCATCACACAAACATCGTAAACTCACGTGGAAATAGTGAATCAAATACGAATCTTCCGGCATGGACAGCGTCTCGTCCAGNTCAATTTGACTTGTTCCAATTTCAGATCTGTATTTGTTAGTTCAATCAGCGTTGACTCTTCGATACACTTTTCGAGATATTCCCATACAGAACACATTGACAAATAACGCGGCCTACATTTCAGTTATTTCAAATCGAGACAATTTTTGCAGGTCGTGAGAGGTCATATTCCAAATTTGATTCCGATCTTCATCAACGCATACGAAGTATTTTTCCTTTTTCAAGACTTCATCCTCGTATTCCCTCGAAAATTCTTTCGATGAGTTCAAATTTACTGCCAAAATAACCGGTCGAGGTCCAGCATCGCATAATACGTTACACGAATTTCGATCAATCCGACGCGAATGAACAATCAAAAACATATTTTTCCCCGCGTCCGCATTCTATTTTTAATCCGTTTTTCGCCACTCGAAAAACTCCGCGTTATCGCAAACATGGAATGTTTTGTCAGAGGCCCAATGAAATGACGGATGAATTTCCCGGAAATGGGACGAAAAACACGTTTGAACTAGTGAAAGAGTGAGTGTGACAATCGACTCACTTCACCGTGGTGGAGCAACAAAAAATAAATAAAAAAACGGAAGAAAATAGAGACTGCACAAAACTCTGTGTTTGCAGATCATGAAAGACGCCTCCGTCCCAAAGAAAAACATTCCCATTCGACGATCTTTTTCTTCTTCGTGAAAAAGGAAACATTCAATTATGTGATCGTTCATTTTGCCTTTTAAAGAACTTAATTTCTGGGAATAATACCGCAGATGAATTTCTTTCCGATGTTTTCCTACAATTCGGGTTTTTTTTATTTTCAAGAGAACTAATTTCGAGGGAAGAACTAAGGTTTCTGAGCGTTGGGATACATTTCTTCTTCTTCTCGAAATTATTCCAATGATTCAAAATCGTACTCAAATAAACGGAGGAGAGGAAATACGACAAACGCTCTCGGTAAGATAACCATTTCTTCCCATCGATTCTCTCTCAAAATGACAAACCAGAATCCAGATGCATCAGCGTTACAAAAACAAAAATCATCTTCTCAACAGATTCATCTTTTCCAAAAAGTGTATTGAATCAAAGTGCATGTGCAGCCAAACCTCAATAAGTTCACTGCATTTATTCACGAGGTTTGCGGTGGTTTTACAAGGTCGAGGGTTTTATGAAGGACCGAAGAGCCAAAATAATATTTAAAAAGTATAACATGAAATAAATTCTTTGTTCTAGAAAACCGTCGAAATCTTCCCAATTAAATTATCTCATCTTCATGTGCGTGTGTGCGTAATTGTTCAATTGGAGAACTTGAACAGAAATTAGGATCATGTTGGCGGGGTAACGGATTTGATTGGCAGAAGAAATCTTTCAGTTGTAAATAATTTTTGGCGGATGATATCTTCATGGGGTATTCGATTCTTATTATCATCAGGAAAGATTTATTTTTCAAAATAAATCGGCGGTTGTCCCAAGAGTGGCGGCTTTTCGTGAGGCGTCTTCACGGGGGGTTGAAAACTAAATTAGTCATCTGCAGTATAAAAAATAAAAATAAATTGTCAACTTGTCTCAGCCCAAACGCAGAAATTGTCGTCGCGCCAATAAAAAAAAAGTGAGCCTAAAACTCGAGCACATTCCCTAGAATATCAGATGGATTTCTTTTTTTTTTCAAAGATTAAATTCCATCACACAAACATCGTAAACTCACGTGGAAATAGTGAATCAAATACGAATCTTCCGGCATGGACAGCGTCTCGTCCAGGCCGACCTTGACGGCCGGCGCCACCGCCACGCTGAAGGCGAACCAGGCGGAAAAGGCGACCACGACCACGACGCGGACAACGTAGCCAAAGAGGAACGGAGCATACAACTCCTTGAAGATCTTGTAGAGGACGCCTTCCGTGGCGCCGTGCTTCTCCCGCTTCTCGCCCTGCACGCAGCAAAACACGTCGAGGCGGTTGTTTTCCTGGCGACGCAAGTCCAGCGTGAACAACGCCACAAACGCCGTGATCTGAGATCGAGAAAAAGTGTTGCTCATCAATATTACGTACAGCATACTCGAGTACCATTTCTCAAAATTGAGAGGGGGGAAAAAAAGAGTCCACGTCATAGTTGGGTAGAAATTGTTGAAAGTTTTAGAAATTTCGGTGTACATCATAATCGTCATACTTTGGTGTAAATTTTTAAAACTCACATTAAATTTGATTCTAAAATGGAAAATTTTCAACCAATTTCAACAGAAGGCCGTACTGTAATGAAAAATAATTGAAAATTAATCGAATTCAGCACCAAATTGGGTCTAAATCCGAAATAGAGTGCAAATACTTTTGAAAACTTCCCGTTTTAGAGCTACTAAAAATGGGGTGCTCGGGGATAAAATTTAGTTGAAAAATTTGAGTGAAAAACTCCAGTGCGCGACTTACTCGAGGGCGCGTGGTACTCGAGTAAATACCGAGTGATGAATATTTTTTTCTTAAACTGAACAGTATTATTGACTGATAAAAATGTTTTTTGCATTATTTACTCGCATTTAATCAAGTACCATGCGCACAGATAAACCATTCTCGACTACGGCATTTAAACCAAGATTCGCCGCATCATTTCTCGAAAAATTAACTAGAAAAAAATAGGGTTCAGCACATAAGTCAAATTACAATATCCACCAGACTTTTGAATATTTGACTTCCTAACATTTTCCGACACGACAGAGGAAACATTCATACGACTAAAAAATAAATAAAAAAAGCGTAGACGAAATAAAAATCATGCAGGACGCTTGCTTCCTCTCAACACCAAAATTAGACGCAGTTCATCTAAGCAAAGATTGCAGAAATTCTCCGACACCTCGCAAAAACGAAATAAAAAGAGATTTTTTCGATCAACAAGAATACAGTACAGTATTAGAGTAAACGATTATCCGAAATTTAAAATTACTGTATGTAACTCCTTTGCTTCCTCCCCACGAACCTAATTTAATCACGGTTCATCAGAGTAATACATTAATAATACCTATAGCATACATAGATAAGCTCAGTTTTACTTGCTATGCACAAAAAAAAATGATACGGCAGGGATTTACATACCGTAATTGCAATGAATAACCAGTTAAGCAGTCAAAATAAACAGATATCTTCAGACCAATCTGCCCCCCAACCCACCTGAAGCAAGAAGTCAAAAAGCAGCGCGAACCCGGCATACAAGGCAAACGCCCTGACAGCCGGCATGCCGCTCAGGGCACCCAGAAAGAAGCAGATGGACTCGGCAGCGGCCGAAAGCAGCATAGACGGGCCAACGTGGCCCAAAACACGGCCCACGTGGTCTTCGACACTCTCGCCCTTCTTCCTAGCTGTCCTCTGGTAAGCTTGCACCAAGATGAAGATATTGTCCACGCCGACAGCCAAGACGAGGAACGGGATCACTTCAATGATGATAAGCGTCGCCGGAACGCCGACGTTGGCGTAAAAGCCGACAGATGCCGCCACTGACGCCAACACGAGGACAACTCCGCCCATCCCGAGCGTGATTTTACTGTCCACGAGCAGCGTTGAAAATGTCCTCGCCTGTGGACGAAAATAAATTGATACAATTGCTTCTTGAAATTCACGAATTGAAATTAATCGCTCGTGAAATTCTCAGCTGTACTCGATTGTAAAAGACGACGAGTCACCACATCATGAAAGACTCGCACAACGAAAATCCGCATCACGAAAATTTGTAGGGGGGTCTTGGTTAACGAACGTCCTGGCTTACGAACTTTTTGCTCAACAAACTTTGGATTCGGGACTTGGCTAACAAACTCTGACTTTGTTCACAAACTTGGGTTAATTTATACGTCAATGAGTTGACAAAAAAATCCTGTGATTTCCTGCTCAACAAAAGTTCTCCCATTAATGCATTGATCAAAAAATTGCTTCTCTCTGAAATTCTGCAAAATACACGCAGGAAGAAGCTTTTAATTTCCAAATTCTGATTGTTTAAAAATGTTTCATGTGAGCCAAAAAATTATACCATAAAAAATATCAAGATGAGCATCTGGCCTAATTGTCAAAATTAAAATTCCTTATGCAGTTCATCATCAGCCAGTGATTGAAAGCCTTTATACAAACAAAAACACACTATAATTTCAATTTTTTTTACATTTTTAAAAATGTCAGAATTATTTCAGATGCCCAAAACTGGGACAACTCCAAAATCTTATGAAATAAAAAATGTTCTAAGGGCTTTTGTCCTTCAGTGAGTTTCTCTAACAATTCATCAAGAAAATTTCTTGAATTATACGCCCAGTAAACATTTTTGAGACACATTTTCTTTATTTTCAGGGGCACTTTCAATGTTTTGGAACCAATTTAAAATTATTTCTGTAGCTTCTTAAGGAAAAACGGGATACGGCCAAAAAACTGCTTGGTTAACGAACTTTGCTCAGAAACATATCAAAATTCTTAAACCAAGACCCCACTGTATCATGACTCACATAAGTGACATAACGAAATCGTTTCATTTCACGAAATTTTTTGGCTAGCAAACAATCGATTTTCGGCAAGTTTTGGGCTATGAACTTCGGAATTTTTAAAAATTTTTAAATTCGTGAAGCTTAGAAAATTAACAGCACATCTCGGGGGACCCCACTGTTTAACAAAACTAAAAAATAATTATATATAACTATTATAATAATAAATAAAATTAAAATAATTATTATTATATTACTGTACTGTACAGTATTATAATAATAATTATAATAATTATTACTTTATATTGTTTAGAATATCCTCACCTGTCCTAATGTGATGGCAATATAAGCAAACATGATGCCATAGGAAATTATGACAGTGGACACGTCTCCGTGACTCTGCCTGTCCAACTCGTCCTCCACGGACCGTTCGGCCCTGAAAGCAACCTCGACTTCCGGGCCATTCCTCGTTCGTACCCATTCCTGCACATAATCCAACCAGGCCTTCTCATAGGCCAATGCAGGCTCGAGTTTCTTCTTGTCGTAGTAGTTGTTCACCACAAAGGTCACGATCAACGTATCCGCGTCAGAGACCTAATCGGAAATATGAACAAGAAGAAGACGATTTCTTTCTGATTATTTCATCAGGCAGCTCGAAGAGACCCCGATATAAAGACGATTCGACTTGGGGACACTTCGAATGTTTAAAAATCAGACCCGACATCAAGACAAAATATATTCATTATAATATATAATAAATAATTATTATTATATCATTTATAATTTTATTATAATTTATTTCAAATTTTATTATAATTTATTTCAAATTTTATTATAATTTATTTCAAATTTTATTATAATTTATTTCAAATTTTATTATAATTTATTTCAAATTTTATTATAATTTACTTCAAATTTTAATATAATTTATTTCTATTTTATTATAATTTATTTCTATTTTATTATAATTTATTTCTAATTTTATCATAATTTATTTCTAATTTTACTTATTCATTTATATTTTTTAACAAACTGGAGAACCAATTAAATGAGTTACCATTGAAGTCTACAGGAAAACGAGATCCGACATGCGGACGTTTCAACACACAGACTTGGTCCCAACAACAATTACGTCCGCATCTCGGGGGTCTAACTACTGTGAAATTAACGAATACGCTCGAGTCCTTTTTAAAAAAGAAAATGCCTTAGCTAATTTAAATTCAAACTGCTGAACTGCAAATAAGGAGGTGAGACAGATTTACTGTACATTAGCCTCGATTTAGTATTCACACAATCTGAGGGGATAAAGATCAGCCGAAACAGAAAATTTTGCATGCCAATGTCCTCTCCACAAACCAAAATCAAACATACAGTAGATTACAAGAGTTTTGCTTGACTTTGCAAAAAAAAAAATGGAGAGGGAGGAATTTACACCAGCCACGATACAGAAATTATATGCTGAAAGGGAATCAGTGCAGGCCAAATAAAAATTATGCAGGCTTCTTCCTTCCTCTTCACAGACCGGAATTTGGACACGGTTCATCAAAGCATGGATCGTAGAAATTCTCCTAGACTTTCCCCAAGAGAGAGAAGGAGATATTCACATGATTAAAATAAGCGCAGAACGAAATGAAAATTATGCAGTACACTTCCTGCCTCTCCACCCAAAAAATTCGACACGGTTCATCGAAGCATAGATTGTAAAAATTCTCCTATACTCTGCAAAAACGGAAGGGGAGATATTCATTCTATCAGCAAGAATTTTACATTATTGGCCGAAAAAAAAAATAGTTTGCTTCATCTCCACAAAACTAAATTTCTACACGGTTCATCAAAGCACACAACATAATCTTAGCTTTACTCGCTTTGCCACGAAGGAAAAAAAGACGAATTTATACAATTAAAATACAATGAAAAAAAAATTTAGCGCAGACGAAATATTGTATTACTGTAGATCAGGTTGGCCGCTCGTTTCCGATCCACAAAGAAAAAATAATAATTACACAAGGTTCATCAAAGGATAGATGCCATAGAATATAGGAATTTTCCAAGACATCGCAAAAAAGGAAGAGAGCTTTATTCGATCAGAAATAATTTTTATATGATTAGCCGAAATTTAAAATATTATGCAAGGCCTTTGCTTTCACACCAGCAATCAAATTTAAACACGGTTCATCAAAGTATGGACAGACAATCTTAGTTGACTGGCTTCGCAAAACATGAAAAGAGGGGGATTTATCTTACAGAATTAGAATAATTAAATAAATCAGCGCACACGAAATAAAAATCATGCAGGCCACTCGCTTCTTATCCACAAAGAAAAAAAAATCAAGAACTGGCCACGGTTCATCAAAGCATACTTGATATAAATTTCTTTAAACTCGGCAAAAAGGGAAGCGGGAGAGATTTATTCATCAAAATGGAATTTAACATGATTACACGAAATGAAATTAAAAAATTATGCGAGTCGTTAGCTTCTTCTCTACAAACCAAATTTAGACACAGCTTAACAAAGCCAACCTAAATAATCGATCTTTGGCTCGACTTTGCCAAAAGAAGAGTAATACAGACAAAATAAATACTATATTGTGTATTTACATTAGCGCGTTCGAGTCCAGCTTTCGGATCCTTGAGGTATCCACCAAAGGCCAGCTTCGGGTCCACGGGTCCTCCAAAGTCACCCAGACAGTCTAGCTGCACGTGATTGCTGACGGCACACGTGTCCAGCGTGCGCCAAAAGCTGTTGCGGTTGCCGATTTTCGCTCGAGAATTTTGAAAGTACTGGAAAGCGGACTGGACGGCGCACTTGTGGTTGTCCGGCTTCAGCGGGGCGAAACAAACGTCAGCCAAGCCCACGGTTTCGTTCGTCTCGTGCGGTTGCCGATTTTCGCGCGAGAATTTTGAAAGTACTGGAAAGCGGACTGGACGGCGCACTTGTGGTTGTCCGGCTTCAGCGGGGCGAAACAAACGTCAGCCAAGCCCACGGTTTCGTTCGTCTCGAGCAAATCCGATCCCCAAGGGGCACGCAACTGAAAACAAAACATAAAAAAAAAACAAGAAATACAATAACTCATAAATGAACTTTTCCTTTTTTTCTCTTCTTCTAAGAATACCGCGTCGAGCACTTGAGCCAAAAGCACCTGTTAAGGATTCTGATCCTCCAAAATCCAAGTTAAGATTTATCATTGTCAAAAAACAATTCAGCATCTTAAAATAAATAAATATCTGCGATTAAAAATATATTCCTCAAGGCAGGTTCATTTAATTGGCTGAGTTGAAAATGTATGACAAACTCACGGAAACTCGCCAAAATTCACACGGATACGAAATTTAAATCACGATTACACGCACTGGAACATGAATAAACCATAAGATGTCATAATTTGTGTTCGATGTGATGATATTTTCATGCTACGGAACCCAAAAAGTCAAATAATTACCGATACGCCAATAATTTCAGGCTATTACTTTTTTTCTCGATCGATTTTCTTATGGCACTAAATTTTGCACGAAGTCCATCAAGATGGAAAACAAAGTAGAACAGCCTTTTCAATGAGAACATATTCCGTATTTAACGCGGTTGATTCGTTCGGCTTTGATTTTTACTCCATTTGCACCCGTTTCAAAATTTTTTTTTTTTTACCCGCTCACTTTTTCATTATTCCGATTTTTGAATATCGTAAGAGACTCGATTCAATCACACCTACGCACATTATAAAAACTTTTAACTTATCGCATAAAATCGGCATTTCACTTCGAACCATTTCTAAACCCAGTCTTTCAATTAAGACAAAAAAATCGATTTCACAACACCCAACTAATCCTGTGAATCTTGTACGACTTGAATTAAAAAAAAAAAAAACTAAGGGCAGAAAAACTCAACCTTGAAAAAAATCGAACTACAATTTCTCTTCATATTTCGCTCCTGAGATTCCCTTTCCCATTATTGCAACATATTTCTCGATAAGGTTCCTTCAATGGAAAATTTAAAGGAGCCATCAAAATCCTCGGGAAGAGATCCGACGGAATTAGACTTGCACAAAAAGAGCCTTGAAAGAGATGAGTTCCAATCCATCATTCAATGAAAACACGACAGCAGCTACCAGCATGTCTCTTTCTCGAAAGGCATTCGGCGAGAAGGAAAAAAAAAATTTAATATAAACACGGAGCAAGCTGGCAAACCTTTTCCTGGAGATAATAGCAGTCTAGCTTTTGTAGGTCTTTCTTACTGACCAATTTGCGTCCCGGGGTTTGAAGAGGACTTAGGCCTACGAAGTGGCTCAGCATCGGTTACCGAAACTACTAGTTGACGAGTCTGGACTACTTAAACCAAAAAAATAAAATGAAAATTATAGGGTATGAACATCTGGAGAAACTACTACAGTAACGAATTCCAGAATATAACCCTGAAAATGTCACCTCGGGCTCAAAAATTTAGGAATTTCGCAATCTTTCCCAAACGTTGGCGAGTATTCTAGAATCCGAGGATGAAATATTGCCGAAGTCAGCACGAAAAATTCTGAAGGCACACGTAAAATTTTCCCCATTCATGCCTTGCTCAAAAACGGCAATCGCACATTCGAAAAGATACCGTTTCAGAACCCCGAATTCCGTACACAAATAAATTCACTCCTCATCTTCATCATTAATAATTTCCTAGACCAAAAACAATTGTTTAAAAAAAAAACCAGCTGACCTAAAGAAAGGTTCGAACTGAGAGTCGTAGTATTCCTTTTCCATTCTTCCTCTCGAATTCGGAGATGACCACAGCTCGACAGGATCGGTGATGACCTCAAGTGACTTGATGCCCCAGGACAGAACAGCCACCAAGGCGGCCGAGTACAGCAACACCATTATCGGTCTACCCGCCACAGCTGAAGAAAAAAGAATATGCGATCAATTCAACATCCATGAGAATTTCGAGTTCGTAAAATACTGAATCCATTGATTTTCTACCTCTTCGCGTAAATTATCAAAATTTGAAATTGCCAAAACTACAGATTTTCTGCCTATTCGCACAAATTATTACGGTACATATAGACTTTCTGTACAACAAAATTCAGGGAACCATAAAAAAAGTTTTAAGAACCTATTCAATGGGTAGAGATCCAAAAAAATCGTATACTGTACAAATGAAATCGTTTTAGAGAGTCTATCTGCATAAGAAAAAATTTAATCTTCTAGTTCCAATCTGATTTTTCACTGCTGTTCATCATTGAGAATCGAGTCAGTCAACTACTGAAACTAATACAAACAATTCAACATCAATGAGAATTACAACTTGGTAAAACACTAAATCCATTGATTTTCTACCTGTTCGCGTAAATCATCAAAATTTGAAATTGCCAAAACTACAGATTTTCTACCTGTTAGCACAAATTATTACGGTACACATAGACTTTCTGTACAACAAAATTCAGGGAACCAGAAAAAAAAGTTTTTAGAACCAATTCAATGAGTAGAGAACCAAATAAAATCGTTTTACTGAGTCTACCTTTATAAGTAAAAATTTAATCTAGTTCCAATCTGATTTTTCACTGCTGTTCATCACAGAGAATCGAGTCAGTCAATTACTGAAACTAATGCTCACAGATTTTCGAACACTTGAATTTGGATTGCTAGTTCACAACTAAAAGGCTTATAAATTTTTGCCAGTGAGATCATCCCAGAAAAATTTCCTACACATCAATCAAGTGCCCATCAAAAGAAGGTTCGAGATTAAATTAAACGAATAATTATGCATTCAATTCCTGAATTCTTGGTAAGTTTCGTCACACCAACTCCTCATTTCGTGACGCATCAGCACTGCTCAAAATAATTTACGCGAAGATCGATCAATTATTCAACAAGAGGAAAGCAGCCAACGTTTTCGCACACGAAGAAAAATGCCTCGAGTCCAGTTCTTCATAAATATTTCAAGCAGCGCGTTATTAATTGTTTCCCTCTTTCATTCCACGAATAAACTCATGAACAACGTCGGACACGTTCGTCTCAGAACTCGTAGACAATTGGCTCATAAAAAAAAGATCTCGAACAAATCATAAATTTTACGCATATTTATGGGAACATATTCCAGTGAATTTTTATCACTCACCTCTTCCAATAGCCGTAAAAGCCACGGTCATACCATACTCGAAATACGCTCCAATGATATCAAAGAGACACGTCCTTTCTTCAACCGAAACCTCGGTCTGGGCGTTTCTCATATCCGCTGCAACAATACAATCATCCTCATTAAAACAAAAATACGACTCCCATTGAAAAAGTGGCATTGCTGAACCGCCGCCACCACCGAACCGCTTTTTTTTCGTTGGCATACAAAGGTCATCAGATCAAGAAAAGTCCCGAGAAGGAACACTCACGAAACAACCCCGAAAATTTTTTTTTCCTATGGGAATTTCTCACCAAGACAAAGATCTCAACACAGAGAATATGAAGGCTGTAAAAGTAAAAGAAGACGTAATAATAAAACGTCAGCCATTCGGAATTTGAATCTACCATATCTCAAGACGTGCGAAACCACGGATGGAAAAAAAACCACACAATTCGCATGCTCCAACAACCGCCTGAAGAAAAATCCTGGAAGCTCTCGAACTTGAAAAAAAAATCTACAAAACCAATCAATTCTTCTCGATTTCTTTTTTTACGCGCAAATCAAAAATTTCGGGATATTTAATCAAATAGAAAAAGCACGGAACAAACGTTGCGAAGCTTTGAAGGAACGACGTCTACAAGGAATACCTTCTTCCGAAGTTTCAAAAAAAAAATCTATAATCGTGCAACGGATCTACAAAAATTATAACAAATTTAAGCTGAAAAAAAATTATTAAAAATTATGGGCTCTCCGAAAAATTATACACACTTCACAGAAGCAAGTGGTCCAATTCCTTTTCTTTTAAACATTTCACAAATCGAAATAACTCACGTAAAAAATTAATTGATCGATTTCCTAGGGAAAATTCAATTGAATAATCAAATCAACGTTGAAAAAGTTAATTAATCGATTTCCTGGGACATATATACTACGGGGACAAGTCTACGTAATCCGAAGTAAACAAAAAAAAATTACGGTGCTAGTGAAGCTAATAACTTTAACCTATTTGTAAGACGATGCTTCAAACAATGTGTAATATATGTGTCATACTTGTATGTTTAAGTGTTTCTTTGTTAAGTTTCCTCTTTTTTACTTTTAAACCATCAACGACAGGCTGAATCAAGTGCAAGATCTTCCAAAATCTCCTCAGGTTGAGTTTCCATTCCAAAGAAAATGAGAGAGAGTGACAAGAGATCCAACACACAACATGCATGATCTCAGAAAGCACACATGAAAGCACAGTGTTTTTACGCCCACAAAAATGATTAAAAAATCATTTATACAAGGTTCTTATTATTTTTTGTTGTTGTCTAGTTTGTGCAATCAACCGAGTTTTTTCTAGTGCGTCGGTAGGTCATTCATTCAATCAATCAATCATTCCTTCCTCCATCCATCAGCTCTCTCTCTCTTTTTCGTTCCATTTTCTATCTTGCTACTCGAGTCATCATCCAAAATGCGCCGCATTTCCTTACTTTGTCTCAAGGGCTGGGCTTCTTCCTCGTCTTCATGGTCGTCACAGTCCCCCAAAATGCCATTGCTTGATGCAATCGGGCCACGGAGTTCTGCCGGTCTGGCAGGGTCCCCGGGTGAGCGGTCAGCGGCGGGGTGGCGGTGGCAGTGGAGGCGAAGGGCAAGGCAGTTTAGATTGTTAAAAATTTGGTAACGGGCGCTTGTTCTGAGCATTTAAAAACGGTCGCAACATCTTCCACGGAATCTCCAGGGTAACAAATGAAGGGTAGTACAAAAAATCCGATTCAAGTTTTTTTTTTTCTATAGAAAAATAATAATATACCGGTTTATAGTTCTGAAATTATTATTAATTATTCTCCTAAACAATGGTTTCAATAACGGGTCAAGTGACTCGTCTAAAATTTCGCTAACATTGTCTTCGATCCGATTTCGAAGACTACTACAATTAATAGCCCTTCAATTTTTCCGAGAAAAGCTTCAACGACAGTTCGGTTCATCGCCTCTTCAAACGAAAACCAAAATTCAATTGAATTCATCAATATTCGCATTCCAACAAACGCAAGCATTCTTCGAACCCCCAGAGAAATAAAATTTCATACTGTATCGGGGAAAAAAATCTATAGAGAAAAATACTGTAATCAGTAGTCGTCCCTCCCAAAAAATAAAAAAAATAAAATCAGTGTCACGTGGTACCATGTCAAAAGTGAAAAAAAGGAATGGGTTTTTGTCAGTTCCAGTGTCAACCCGTTCACCCGAATCCCCCCGGCTTCGACACGTGGTCCACAAGAAGCCATGCAAGTGCAAACTTCTCAGACTGTGCTAAGATTAGAACGTCCCTGTGCTTTTCCAAATGCTCGAAATACGGCTTTAATAAAGAAACAGCCCTTATTTCCAGTCTTCCTGAGCGGAAGTAAAAAATGAAATGGAAATAAAATTGGAAGAGATGAAGACGGACGTGACCCTTCGGATAAACTCGAAATCGTTGACGAAGACTACGAACGCTCAGACATATTTCAAACACAGCCTTCTCGGAAAATTGGCAATGGACTAGAAATCCTTGCAAAAAATAAAAAATCATTCTCCTACTTTAATAGATACAATAATGGACTAGAAATCGTTTAAACGAAGCCATTGAGACCAGTTAAATTGATTCGTTACAAAGAAACTGAAAAAAAATTGTAGCTATCGGAAAGGGGCCCAAAAACGATTTTCATAATCAATTATTGCGCAAAACGAGATTCTGCTGTACTTATTTTTATTTGACATGTTTTCCTTAAATATGATACGACAGAACCATGTTTTTAGGCACATATTCAATATTCAATATACTGTAACATATTTCGTATTCAGCAATTCAAAATCTCATCGTGATCTCATCGTCAAAAATATTTTTTCAAAACATTCAAAAAATACCTAAAAAAAAGATTCAGTACTAATCCGGGAACACAAAAAAAAATCGGATATCCGTGTACCACAGTAAGACACACTCCAATCTGCGCAGTTGCCATTCCTTCATCGAAATTCGCAAGGTTCGTAAAGGGACTGCAGTCGGCATAAGGCTCGTGTCTTTATCCCCCTTTTTGATGTACTGGAACAAGTTCATGTTAAGGGGTGTAGCACGGGAGCCGTCCCTTTTTGTCCTTACTCAACTGTACTAATTCTCTTGAAATAAATAGTGTCGTCGTCACGTAGGTGCGTCAAAATCCCTTCACTCCAAAAAAAAAAAGGTAACCCCGACAGAGAAGCCTGAGCAATACTGTGTGCATGTAGGAAACAAATGGAACCGTAAGAAGTAGAGAAAAAAAAGAGAAAGAAAAAGGGATATTTCCCCCCCTTCTCCGCTTTCTCAAAAGCCGCTCCTCGAGACGTTAGGCACATGACGCAAAACCCCACACCAAAACACACGTGGATTCCAAGTATTAATTTTTTTTTTAAAGAAAAGAAAACCCTTTCTGGTAGACGACGACTACGGTCCCTTCGCAGTTAAATTTCTATGACATGTCATAAGTGAGCTTATAGATCCTGTGTGAAGGAAGCGGTCAAAGGTGAGTTTTTTATAAAGTCTCCGAAAAAAGTATGATCATAACGAAATTTCAAAAACTCGTCATTCAAGACGAAGAAAAAAAATTAAATTAAAATATTGTCAGCCGTTTCATTAGAGGCGCAAAAAATGTAATTAAGAGCTTCATAAATTAAACGTATATGAGAGAATTACAGCATATTTTTTCTGCACCTGTAAATGACGTTTCGCGTGCCAAGATTTTCCCGGCATTTTTGCAGTTAAAAACCGAAGACTTGAAACTTGAATCAAAAGATATTCTCTGAGGTTTCCAACTAATTTCAACTCCAACATGAGCAACTTCTCACACAATCCAATATTTTCGGAGTAAATTTTCCATTCATCATTAATTTTACGCAGATTAATTTATAGTACATTGGAACAGGGTTCTCAAGCAAGGGAAATTCTTACTGTAGATACTAAGATTTTTAAATTACTGTTGAAATACTTGGTAAAAATTGGATTAAAAATCGATGTTATTGAAGTTCAAACCTTACGTTCTCCAAAGGACATGATACTGCATACAGTAAAATCTCGTTACAACAAAGCCATTGGAACTAAGAAAATTGCCTTCTTGGGAAGAAAAATTCAAAAGGAAGTCCTCTTTCAAAAGTTCGTCTATTGGACAGCGAACTACTCCGTTGTAATCGATTATTCCTTATGGTGAGATTGCTAGTAATGAGATCCTACCGTACTTCAACTCATTCAAGTAGATAATTTATCAAAATATCATCAATTGTCCGTTTCCATTTGTTCAACAACCCGAACACAAAAATTATTCCACATTTGAATCTTTTCTCGGATTAGTCCTTCAGATTTGCAATCACAATAATCCTCAGATACCAAAGGAAAATACGGAAAAGTACATCTCATTGCCATTTTCAGCGAAAAAATAATTC